ACGTAGCATATCGGAATATGCCATTCTATAATTTTTTCCTTATTCTTATCTCCGGTATGTTTTTGACGAACCGCAATGCTCTCCGGTGTCAATACTATGGTTAGTAACCTGGGTAAAATCCTGGAATATCACTAAATAAGGAAGCAAATTCACTACCTTGTCGGATTCTATCTTGCTCGTATTAGGCAGGTGGTCGAGATTTAACCTTGGCGGTTCAACCTTTCTACACCATGGTTCATCGTCAGCTTAGAGACGCTTCATTAAAATCCAGTGTAGCTGTCGTCTGAGAAAGTCTATTCCTAGTATTAGTGTGCTTGCATTCTTTACTAAAAAACATCACCTTTACGGTTCGTCCTTGATACGGATGTACAAAGGTACTTCCCTACGCACTTACATGTTCTCCTTGCGCCGCTAAACTGTTGTATTATCCGCATTTATATGCGGTAGTGCGAAAATACTTCTAAAAAAGATTCTGCCACACAGGAACACTGCGCGCCGGTATCCAGGAGTGCGGTGGCCGGATATTATTTACCAAGACTTCATCTTCGGGAAGAGTTAAATTTTTCACCATTACTGTATTTAATTGTGGAAGAGGTTTTCGTGGCCTTCGGATTTCCGCACCCTTCTCGTCAGCAAATCCGTTTTAGTTTAAATTTTTTCCTTCGGTGCTTTTCCTTCTTTCTCCCTGGCCTGAGACTTTTTTCTGGTTGCTATTAAACTGGTCGCGTTCGCCGGTGTTTTTGAATGCTCGGGTTTCCTTGCCCACTGATTCGCTTTTCTCCGTAGCCATGTGCTTGAGTTGCTGTAGTCTTGGCGTACCAAATTGGTTTCCGCTCTTGATATTGGCGCTTCTTTCGACGTCCGCCGTTCTTCTACTTTCAAACTGGATTGCTAGCTCAAATATTTTTCCGTGAGTCGGATTTCTCAATTTCAATAAAGTCTTGCACTTGGGGTGTAACCTCGCAAAATCACTTGAATTATTTCAGGATCCGGACGGTTTCCATACAAGAGCTTGAAAACGTGAATTTTCTTAAAATAAACTCGAGAGGTTTTCCATTCTTTGTTGATATATACTGAAAAGTTCTGTTTCTAATTCGCACGATCCCTTACAACAGGAAGGCTTTTAGTGGGCGTCTTGAAATTTTCGTAGGTATAGGTGGGACTTCCTGCTTGACCCAAGAGACTTTCTGCGATGCATTGACCCAGTTAAGCGCTTGGCCCTCAAAGCGCTGGTAGCTAAGGTAACTTTTTGAAACTCGTGCACGGGTAGAGCATGAAGTGGTCATCCAATTTTTCCAAAAAACTGTTACCTGTGAGTTTTCCATTAAATGTTGCTTCTGGTTTCATCGAAGCGCGCATGGTCTGGACATATACCCAATCCTCCAGGGCGGCAGCTGGCATTTCTGGATTCTGAGCTGTTTCTGCAGGCAGCACAGGTTCTTCGTGAAACTCGGCCATGGTTATTCTTCGTCGGGGCGCCACTATAAGGTCAATGTTTCTTCTAACCTTCTTCGGAAACATACAATGACCTGACTAGAACAGAGAGCTTACTAAGCTATGTTCACTAATTGTAGTAAGTAGACGGATACAGACGAAGGGTATACAAAACCCTTTATTTTTTTCTTTATATACAATGACTTCCGTATTCGGAATTACATGACCCCCCTCGGGGTCTAACTAAAAGATATCAAAATAAAACTAAACTTAATTTAACTTTAGAATAAGATTGGCCTTATAATAACAGAAAGCGTATGTAGCACAGAGACTGGAACACTACAATACGTTTAATATCAGAGGATTAAAAACCTCTGGCCTGGAGGGCAAATAGCACTGCGTAACTTCTAAGGTAGCGGCCGTTCGAATCACGCTTCCTTTCGCTTGGAAAAAGCCACACTTAAATACTTGGCTTCCAGACAACTTGCAAATCTCCGCTATAATTTGGCCGGAAGTAAAAATAAGATAGTAAGATTTAAAATAAATAAGTGTAAACTTAAACCTCAATTTGATTTTTCTCGTTCCCCCCCGTGGGCCTTGGTCCATTCTATCCTGGTGTTCAGATGGCTGTGGTCGCGCAGATGTGTCTGAATCTCTGCAATCAGTGGGGAGCTGTGCACAGGGTTCACAATTGCATACAGCGAGGAGAGGCTGTCTGTTATAATGAAGCTGTCTCTTTGCCGCTGTTGGATTATCGTAAGTAGAGCTTGTTTGATGGCCATTACTTCACTCTGGAACACGCTGTTGTTTGTGTCCAGGTGACCTTTCCATTGTGCTATTGTGCTTTGCTGTCTGAGGGCAACATAGGCGCAACCTGTATTTTCATCTAGTTTTGACCCGTCGGTATAATAGACTAGATCATCTTCCTTTACATTGGTGTTTTGCTTGATGCTAATCTTTACTCCCTGTCCCTGCGTTGAGGGGTGATCGGCAAGGCGTATCATCTTTTGTTCAAATTCGGCTGGTGAGTATAGCTCGTCTCTGAAGGTGGTTAGATTGCCAAGTTGAGTGATCTCCTGATAGGCTGCTTCCTTTTCTACGCTCAGATGGAGCGGTAGCAATCCCGCTAGTACGCATAACGCATTTGTAGGGGATGTTCGGAAGGCCTTGGTGACATTCAGGAGAAAAGGCCTTTGTATGCTAAGTAGATGCTTGACTTTGCGGCCCTGCATAGGCGCTGACCAAACAGCCGCTCCATAAGTTATAACTTTCTCGGCTACTGTTGTGTAAAGCGTTTTCTGGATATAGGGATTGAGACCCCATTTATAGCCCTGCATATATCTTAGTTGTTGGGCTAATCTTGCAGTTTTCTTTTTCAGCTCCAGCACATGGGGGATCCAGTTTAATTTGGTGTCGAAGATAATTCCTAGATATTTCAGCACTGGAGTGATGCGGAGGCGATGTCCGTTTAAAGTTATCCTTGGCTGTCTTGCCAGCGATCCGCCTTTTTTGGGACGAGCAAAATTTGAAATTTGGCCTCTGCTATTTGAAGTTTTAGGGCTGTGCATCTTTCCTGAAAAAGGGAGCAGGATTCGATTGCATTGGCCTGGAGCTTTTCCCTGGTTCTTCCTTTGACGATTAGGGCTGTATCGTCTGCGTAAGCGATGATCCTTGTATGGTCAGGCCATGGGTTGTTGAGGACTCCGTTGAAGGTTATGTTCCATAGGAACGGTCCGGCGCATGAGCCTTGCGGGCATCCCTGTGTCTGATCTTGTTCTATAATTCCGCTGTTATGTGGAAGGATCAGCCGGCGGTCCGCTAAATAGTTTACGATGGTGTTGTAAATATTGCTTGGGCAGTTAGCGGTTCGTAGAGCTTGTAATATTGCTGGCCACCACAGCGTATCAAAAGCGCTCTTGAGATCTATTGAAATGAACGCTGTGTGGTAGCCAGAGGATCTGTTAGCCAGTATTTGGTTTTTTGACTTCCATCAGAGCATGTAGTGTTGATTTACCTGGGCTAAAGCCAAATTGAATTGGACTCAGGAACCGGGTTCTGTGCAGATGGTGTCTTAGCCTTGTCATGAGTATCTTTTCGAAAACCTTACCCAGGGTAGAGAGTAAGCAGATCGGTCTGAATGACTCTGGTCTCGTAGGATCTTTGTTCTTCTTCAGGAACAAGACTACATGACCGATTTTGAAACACCTGGGAAATGTCCCGGTACGAAGAAGCTGATTAAATAGCACTTGGAAGATGTTGACATTTGTTCGCACTATTAATTTTATTATCCGGTTGTCGATGCCATCTGGTCCAGGTGCTTTACGCTGCGGAAGCTGGCGCAGGACCTGGAGTATTTCTTTCTGCAGTTGTAATATCAGGGTCATCCATGGTATTTATTTCAAGAGGCTGGTTTCGGACGATGGTATGAAAGGCTGTGTCTTCTGTCGGGTTGTCCTTGGTGAAGACTGTCCTTAGGATCTCTGATAACGTAGCCTCCGTGAGATGGTCATTAGTATTTGGCGTTGGCTGGAGGTAGAGAGTTAGCAGCCGGCTTGAAGAGTTTGCCAGCTGCGATTTTGTGGTGGATACCAAAGGTGGTCGTAGTTTCTGTGCAGAATTTTCTCCAGCTGCTTATCTTAGCTTCCAGAATCATTCGCTTATAGAGTGCTCGCTCCCGTTGGTAAATGAGCAGGTGGAAGTTTTTCTAGGTTATGTCTGCGCTCTTGCTTTAGGCGTCGCCGTAGAGCACGACACCGTTTGTTGTTGACTTCGAAGCGTGCCATTCCACCAATTCAGCGTTGTGATTCTTTTGGCCGTGCGCAGGGGGAAGATTTTCATCACATGCCTTCTTGATTGCGGTTAAGATGTCTTGGGTGAGGTTCTGGAGGGCCTCTTTGCTGTTGGCCTGTCTTATTGCGGTTGCAAAAGGTGCCAGACGGGCTCTAATGATGGCTGTGAATGCTCGAACTTTCCGTCCAGGGAGATTGTACCGTTTAAGAATAGAGGTGGCTGTGCTATTTGCTAGATTAAACCGTATATAATTATGGTCGGAGATACTAAGGTTTTCGACGACTGTCCAGTCTTGCAGTATGGGTGCCATCTGTTGGGTGGTGATGGTAAGGTCTGGCCAGCCGCGCGAGTGTAGTCTATTGAATGTAGGCGGTGCATCCGAACGATTGTGAATTACGAGGTTACTGCTGTGAACAAAGTCCTCGAGTATGCGGCCTTTAGGAGCTGTGATTGCATAGCCCCAGGTGGTGCTGTGTGCGTTAAAATCTCCAGCAAATAGTATGTTAGCTATTCGGTGCGATCTCATCAATCGTTGTATGCGTTCTAATGTGGGGTCTGCTTCTTCTGTTGGTGGAGAGTAGATTGAAACCAGAACCACTGTTAGATTTAGTACCTCTAATAGTATTGCTACAAAGTCCCTTTCGGCTGCTATCATTAATGGTGACCATTTGGGGTTGCAGTTTGCTATATAAATGCTCTTGGTGGTTGATCGATATCTTCTTTTTGATAAATGCTCCATTGTAAGGGGAAGCCGACTACTTTACCATTCCTGCAGTATGGTTCTTGACCTAAGATTAGGTCTATTCGTTCCTCTGCAGCGTAGAGAGCTGTCTGCGATGTTGCTGCACGTGCATGCTGTAGGTTGATCTGCAGGCACCTGGTTTCTGATTGTCGTTCCGACTGCATTATGTTAAGTGCATCCTTTGTCGTTGATGGATCTTTCATCTGCTTACTGTTTTCACATAACGAGGTCGTGCAAGCTGGTCTGTCATTAATAATCCGTATTGCTGCGGATTGTATCGACTGCCCGCTGGTAGACTGGGCATTCGGTAGCATAAGTCGGGTGAAAGAAGTTGTATCTTGTGCCCCATCTACAGTTTGAGTCCCCACAGTTAATACATGAGGGCTGCTCAGCTGTGCAACATCTGGTTGGATGCGGGCCGGAGCAGAAGCCGCAGAAGACTCTTCTTTGACCTGCATGCGTCTTGACTGTGCCCGAACTGCTGGCAGCGATAGCATCGCCTGATGCCAATGAATTCAGAGATGCCATGGGATTGCCATGCATGCGTGAAGATGCGTCGGGCTTTGGTTGCGGCGGCAAATCCTTCTGCTGCGCATTCGATAATCCACTTGACTGTCTTTGGTCGCCTTTCTTTAAGTCGGTATAGCGCCTTGTAGAGCTTAGACGATGTTCCCGTTGTTGTACTAAGCTCGGAGATGATCTCCTCCGGCTTGGTGCTCTCAGGAACGTTTGTGTATGGCAATCCTCGGTCGTCGTCGTTGGCGTCTCTTGACGTCGACATCTATGTTGGCTTTTTGTATATGCTGTTGCAGTTGGTCAAGTTCCTCTGCTTGTCTGGCAGAATACCTCTAATCCTCCTTGTGGCGTAGGTTGTATCTTTTCCACTGTGACTGGGATCTTTGTAAGGGGAACTTTTGCTTGTAGTTCTTTCCTTAGCTCTCCAGTGGGTTTCTTAGTGATGGGCTTGATTATGATGCTAGGTATTCTGGATTTACGCAATACCTCAGCGAACGTTCGGAATGGAGGTATTGGACTGCGAAGTCAGAGCTGGTTCGCTATTGAGCTGTTGCACAGGGTGTGTGGAGGCGTGAACTGCTTGACAGCACACAAAGGTAGAAGTATTAGTGCCTGTGTCTTCAGTTACTGGCTTTGGTGCGTATGCTGGTCCTGCAAGTGCTAATTCTTGTAGGACGTCTAAGGACCTTTTCCAATTGCTCCCTTAAATCTTGGGTTAATAGGAATTTATTTCTTCGAAACGTTGCAGAGATCTGCCGAATGTTTCCTGCTAGGACGGCTACACGTTCTCGTGCGATAAGTCCGATGCCAATAAAGCTTCAGGATCTAAAATGCCTTGTGACTGGGTATTCTCTGTGTCGTAGTCGGTTGAAACGAGGGACGCGACATGTCAGAGCGGATTACGTTGATTCTTGAAATGCACTGATTAAAAAGGCCCTTGTTATGTTGGACACTAAGGTATGCAAGGTGGGAAGAATGCGTGATGTAAGCACTTAATATCACAGTGTGGCACCACCAGTCATATGCTTAATTTGTGATACCACAGGACATTAAAGTAAAGTAAGTGAATCGGACAGTACATGCACATCAAGTGGTGAGGATAGCAAAGTTAGTAAATAAGAAAATGCACTTTGAATGTATGCAGGAATGTAATTTCACAAGTATGATAATAGGTAAATGGGTAATTCAATGCAGAATAACAACAGTATTTATCAATTCAATACAGAAAAGCAGCAGTATATATCTTGACATTCCCAGGAGATACGCCAGAGGCTCGGAAATGAGGGTGGTGAGTACTGATGCGCAAGTCCTACGTTAAGATTGGAAAGTGTAACATGGATATGAGGCCCCCTTAAACGGGGGGCGGATTTCTCTTAAAAAGTCCTCTATGGTTCATCTCTTCCTTTGTGTAGTGCCTAATGGCAGAGCACGTAATAAATTAATAAATAAAAGATTAAGATAATTCTGCGTGTTAATCATTAGGGTAATCGTTAATGTCACAGCACAGAATAATATTCTTAATGTCCAAGTATGTAACTGAATACAGATTCAACCTTTTGTTAACTGAACAGATTACTTTATAGTTTTGAATAAATATTTTATACAGCCAGGCGTTCAAAGACATAAAGAAAAACATACATGAAAAAATTCTGAAAAATATTCTTTAATAGTCAATAAATATGCTTTGCAAATAAACTCAATGATATGCAACCAACCGAAAATAAATGTGAGCTTATCTAACGACCTAACCGTATCTACCGTACCTATCTAGTTAATTTATAATATAGCGTAATGATCATATTTTTAATTTTTGTAGCAATAATCAATACGAGATGTTTTAATAACCGTATGTTACACACATGCAGAATCTTCGTGTTCAAAGAAATTATAAAATCGCTTGGATTTTATGTAATTCATAAGGACGGGTTTTCCTTTAATGTGTTTCTTTTCTCAGAATCAAACACGAAATGCAACATTTTTTTAGAAGTGTATAATAAAAAAAGATTCGATTTATTCTTTATTGTATGCATTCTGTGCAGTTTATGTGTCTTCCAAATTTTATGGCTGCGAATGTCGAAAGTTATATGGTTACTTTTATCTTCCTGCTTATAAATTCGAAAAACTTGCATTTGCACAAAAAGGCACTTCAGCTGAGAAAATATCGAGAATATTTTGAACGAATTTAATTTTATAAGCGAGATATGCTATCGGAGAAAGCAGTAAATAAGTTATTATTATATACCATTCTTAACTCAGAATGATACTTCCTTCATCGTTATTAAAGAAATTACCAACTGTTAAGCAGATATTTAAATTTTACTTCTCTTTAACCTACATAAAATTATTTTTAGAAGATAGTTTAAAATGAAACAACAAAAACATTCTTGCGAGTTCTTTACAACTTCCTGTATAGCAGCAAAGTCGAGGTATAATGCTTCTTTTAAGTGTTGCCAGCAGAAGAGGCGAAAAATAATTAGCTTCAGGAAAGCGAGAGAGTTTAATGCTGTAAAAGTCTGGCAG